AGTTAGAAACATCGATGAGAGAGAAACATTGATCAGCACGACACATGCCCAGGTTTGGGGCTTGATCCCCAGTAGGGGGCCTGCAGAAGGCAGCCAATCAATGATTCTCTCTCATCATTGATGTCTCTCTCTCTCTCTCTCTTCCCCTTCCTCTCTGAAATCAATCAAGAAAGGAGGCTAAAGAGACATGGCATCTAAATGCCATGACTGTGAACTGGACCCTGTTCTAAAGGGGAATTGACACAATTATAAATATGAATGGGATATTAAAGTATGGTATCAGTGCTAAATTCACTAGTGTTGACAACTGCACTGTGGTCATGTTAGAAAGCATTCCTAGTCTTAGGATGTAAATGCATACTAAAGTATTTGTGGGAAAGGGGCCATGGTGTACGAAACATATCCTCAAATGGTTCAGAAAAGATTTGTGGTGAATTATGTATACATATGGAGAGAGAGAGAGAGAGAGAGAGAGAGAGAGAGAGAGAGAGAGAGAGAGAGAGAGAGAAAGAAAGAGAGAACAAGAACAAGACTGATAAAGCAAAAGGGGTAAAAGATTAACAAAAGAAGAGGTGGTTAAAGGGCATATGTGTGGTGTGCCATGGACTATTCTCTCTTTTCCATCTTTTCTGTGGGTCTGAAACATTTTTAGACACAAAGTAAAAAATTAAGAAGAAAGACACCAATATCTATGGGCACCAGGCATCATGAAAGGTAGTTCCCCAGATGGGGGGGAAAGCAGAGCCCGTCTCAGCGGAAAGTGACTCACTGAGGAGGAGGCTGTCCCTCGGGCAGGTGTGACACTGGTCCTCAGAGGGCCCCGTGCAGCGGAAGCACTTGGTGTGACAGGGCTTGCAGCCCAGAGCCGCCTCATCCCAGTACTCGGAGGGGGCACATTCCTTGTGAGGCTCGCAGTCCCCGTGGCTGTTCAGCCTCAGGCCTTCCACACAGGTTGTGCAGGTGCCAGGTGATGAGCAGGTCTGGCAGGAGCTGGGGCAATCTGTGGGCAGGGTGGGGGTGGCAGACAGACAGTGAGAGTGGCCAGGGTGCCCCAGGAAGAAATCAGTTCCCCCTGGGAAGGTTATTCACATGTCTTCCTCGCTTCTTCCAGAGATTTCCAGGGCTCTGTACCAACAGTGTGGAGTCATGAGTTGGGTACATTCTTGTTGGAGCATTCTTGTTGCTGTGTCATATTCTCTGTAATAATTAGGCCCTTCCTGCAACAGCCACCTCAGAAATTATTAGTAAGACTCACTATAATTACCCAAACTACAACGAAATAAGAGGCAATTCTGCAGCAGAATGGTCACCATCATAATTCCTATTCTGTGGTCCTCCAATGACCTCCAAAAATACCTTGAGCTTGTCACTAGCATTGGTATATATTACCATTACCTGTTGAGTAAAAAGGTCTCTTTTATATTCATTTGTGAAGGCACAATGCCTAGGAGGGCCTGGCATATAATAGGCACTCGGAAATATTTCTTAGATATTTTAAGAACAACATACTCCCACCTCGGGGTTTTAGCAGTGCTGTTTCCTCTGCCTAGAATTCTCATCTCCCAGGAATATGCGTGGTTTGCTCCCTCCATTTATCAGTGGTACCTTCCAGGCCCCCTTTTCTCTAATTTCAGCTCCATTCTGCCTAACTTCATGTCTCCCTTCCCTGCCTTATTTTGCCTTTTGACTGTCTTCTTTAGAGTCTGCCTTCACCAATAGAATGTAAGCTCCAGAAGGCAGAACTCTGTATTGTTTCCTGCTGTTCCACAGGCCTGAAGAGCACATGGCACATAGTAGGCCCCCAGTAAGCACTCACTGTTTAATAGACACAGTATTATTATTGTGATTATCACCATCCCATTTTATCTGTATCAGGAAATTGAGGCTGGAGGTGCTAAGTCACCTGGCTGGAAAAGAGCAGGGTCAGGAGCTTAACCCAGGACCTTAACAAGATCTCTTGCTCTTTCTGCCCCAGTGCCTCAGAAAAGGGAACATGCCGAGCTCAAAAGGTTCGCCATCACTGTCATAGGGGATAATTTGAGGTGATCAGAATGGATCCCAAGTCCTTATGTTCCTCAGAGGAGAATCCTGCTTGGAGATTGCTTGATTACAGATGCTTCTCTATACCTACTCAAATCTTAAGTTGCAGGTCAGGTCCTTGTTTCTCTCTCTGGAAAGGCAGGTGGTCACTTCTAATGCCAGCTGGTGTAAGATGCAATAGCATTGCATGGAGAGACCCCAAGTCAGTTTCCAACAGTGGAGCTGGTCTGAGTGAGCCCAGGTATCTGTACTTTTTAAAAGCTCTCCAGTTGATACCAGTGGGCAAACGGGGATGAGGACCAGGGGCCCTTCTCAATGAGAAAATTGAATCAGGTAAATTAAGTACAGTAAGTACTCTGAGACCTGTTACGTTCTCTATATGGCAAATTACTTTTATTATTGAGCACCAGAGAAAGGCCAGAAGTGGATCCCCAGTTCCTGCCCCAGTACAAGCAAGATGGCACTGCAGGCTTTTGGCTGAGTCTCTACACTTCTCGTGGGAGCTGACCCCCAACTCCGCAGGCTCCCTCCCTCTCTCCCCTTCTGCTATACAGGCACAGCTGCCCATCTTCAAGTCCATGTTCTTCCACAAGTAGTTGGGTGGGACCCTGACATTAAAGAATGTACGTGACACACAAAAGGGTTTATCCGGATCATAAGGCTCGAGCAGAAAGCCTTAGGGGTAGGTACATTATATCTTTATGTCTTACAAAGAACTATTCCCTGGGTATGTTCTTGGATGTGAATGGCCCAAGGTTGCTTCTGCCATGTGAGTTCACCCTCAGGCTCTCACGGGGTTTCCGGGGCCTACCTCTAGATATCTGTCTATCTTGTGTTTGCGTGGAGGCAACACTGGGGGCGAAATTACCGCTGTCTGCCTAGTTGGAGTGAATCCTGCGACTCTAGTTAACAATACTATATTGTACACTTGAAAGTTTCAAAGAGAGTAGATCTTAAATGTTCGTACCAAAAGAAAAAAAAAGGTAACTACGTACATAGACGATAGATGTGCTAACTGACCTTATGTGGTCATCATTTCTCAACACATCTGTATATCAAATCGTCATTTTGTACATCTTAAACTTACACAATGTTATATGTCAATTACACCTTAATAAAATGGGGGGAAAAGAGAAAAGTTCCTTTCCCCAGAATGCCTCTCACTTGCTTGAGAATTCCCCTAGTAATGGGCAATTTATTAAAAACTATGTTCCCTGAAAACCAGTAAGGACAAAGAATTCACGCCCAGTTAAAACATAAGAGGGCATAAGTAATAGCTCTTTCTTGAGCATGTAGGGATTGAAGTGTCCAGTCGGACATGAATTAGGGGACCCAAAGTAGGAGCTGGTAGCTTTAGGGAGGCAAATGATGAAGGGGGACAAGAGGCACTGAGAAAATCCTCTATGGTACAGCTCTCCGTATGCAGCTATAAACTTTTAATGGCTTAAAGTTTTAAGAAAAATCTCCCATTTTGGGTGACTTTTGAGGGCTCATTATCTCTTGTAAATGTTCATGTGAGAATCCTTTTTGATCAGCCACTGTTGTGGAGGGTCAACATTATTCCTTGCTGACAAAAGTTATATGATCAAAGCTAATGAATGATTCATTTAAAAAAATAAATTAGAGCCCTAACCGGTTTGGCTCAGTGGATAGAGATTCGGCCTGCGGACTCAAGGGTCCCGGGTTCGATTCCGGTCAAGGGCATGTATGTACCTTGGTTGTGGGCACATCCCCAATGGGGAGTGTGCGGGAGGCAGCTGATCGATGTTTCTCTCTCATCAATGTTTCTAACTCTCTATCCCTCTCCCTTCCTCTCTGTAAAAAATGAATAAAATATATTAAAAAAAGAAATTAGAGCAGATTCAAAATATGAGGGGAATGGGTGGGACAACAGTTCTGGGGCTGGAACTGTGCAAACCCCACATCCTACTTGGTCTTGGTCAAAGCCCATTATCCCATCAGGCTCCCTGGGATTCATCACTTGGTCATGTACCCCGAAGTCTTTACCTTTGCATTCATTAGTCTTTCTTTCATAGTAAGTTCTTGCTGGACACCTATACAAGCACTGCCCGTCATAGAGAACGGTGAAGTACTTAGCACAGAGGTCGCAGTTGTCTGCTGAGGGGCCGCTGCACTCCAGACAGTCTTTGTGGCAGGGGAGGCATTGGTGGGTGTCTTCATCCTTGTAGAACTGCTGGGGACAGGACTGATGGCACATATCCTTGTGTAGAAAGAAGGCAGGCATGCACTCTGGGGGTAGGGAAGCAGCAGTTATTCTCAGGGAGACAGGAGAAAGGAATTCCTTCCACAGTGGCTGGCCCATCCTCCACCACTTTGCCTCATTTGACCTGAGTGTACACTTGCCCCATCTCCACCCAGCCAGGGCACATCATCCGTGTCCCCAAAGCCTTGACTTTGGATTGGAGACCACATATGGAGACCTGTTTAGATGGTGCTGGGTTTCTATCTTGAAATGATCTGCCCCTTGGAGGTGCAAAAAATTGTAATGCTGTGGCAGATATGTGATGGCTGAGACACTGGAGGTACTGTTCCAAAAGCCCAGAAAGCATTAAAATTTTCCAAGCTGTATCCAGCACCTCAGGCTTTATGTTGTGCACAAAGCAGTATAGGAACTCTTGGATAAGGTAATTTTTCACTCACTGATAGGGTAGACTAATGAAATATACATGGTTAGTCAGTATGAAGAATGCATTGTGGGTTTGTGTTAGTTCTCTTATTTCAGGGGGGAAGGGAATTCTGGAAAACACTTTGGATAGGATAGCACCAATTAAATGAGTCTGTCTTGGTCTGGAGAGGAAATCAGCATTTCTTGGAAGATAATTCCAGAGAAAACAATTCCTTGCCAGAATGCTATTCTTAGAATTAACAATACTGAACAGTACTGTACATGGGTATGGACAAAATCATACAAAAGGTTCTCTTGTCTGTGTTAACTTGCAGAATCCAAAATGGAAAGGTTTTTACCTCACCCTCACTTTTGTCAGTGACATGCACAGAGGTTGATACATTTTAGTGAAGGTTCCTCCCGGTTCTGCCTGGACATCCCACCCTCAGCTGATTGGCCCCCAGCTGGGGTAGCTCGGCAGAGCCACACACTCCCATGGGATGCTCCCAGGTACCTTTGCAGATTTTCTCATGGATGCACTCCTGACACATCTCTGGGCAATGCTTGCACACCCCCTCCACGGCCACATGCCTCTCAGAGCAGGTTTCCTGGCACACTCCCTGGTCCAGGACAAGGCTCCCTTCACAAGCTTGGCAGTTGGTGGCATTTCCTTCACATTTTCTGCAAGGGGAGCTACAGCGTTTGCATATGCCTTCTTCTGCATAGAAGCCCCTGTGGGGAGAAGAGAGAGCTACTGGGGAAGCCGTCCAAGCAGGAAAATGATTCACACCTGGTGACAAAGAAGTTAGGGCTGAAAACGAAGGACTGCTGCTCATGTCGGCCAAAATGAATTAATCAGATTTCCTGAGGAAGTATGGTAAAAAATCAAGTCTGGAAAAATAAAAGGGATAGATATCACCCTTGTGAATTTGGTTTGTTTGAAAACAGCTTTAATTTATATAAACTTTAGTCATCTGATTTCCCTCTTTTAATCTCTGACTTTAATTTCTTTTTTCTTGTTAGAGCAGAAAATGCTGTCTGTTCAATTAATACATTTTTTAAAATAAAAATTCAATTTAGCAAATTCAAAAAAACGACTTTTAAAAGGCTCAAAAGATTTACTACCGTTAATATTGGAAGGATTTTCGCTTTTGGATGTTCCCAGCCAACCACTGATGGCTTTTTTGAACACACTCACATAACATTTGCATACAGCACCAAACATTTGGAGCACTGCTATTGGAGTATATTGTATTTTTCCGTGTATAAGATGCCACCATATACAAGACGCCCCCCACTTTTCCAACTCAAAATTAAGAAATCAATATTTTAAACATAAAACAAAATACATTTTTATTTAGTAACTAGAGGCCTGGTGCATGAAATTTATGTGGGGGGGGGCGGTGCAGCGGGGGTCCCTCAGCCTGGCCTGCACCCTCTCGCAATCCGGACCCCTCAGGGAATGTCCGACTGTCAGTTTAGGCCTGTGTTTGGCAAACTGCAGCTCGCGAGCCACATGCAGCTCTTTGGTCCCTTGAGTGTGGCTCTTCCACAAAATACCACGTGCGGGCGCGCATACAGAGCGATTGAAACTTCGTGGCCCATGTGCATTAGTCGGTTTTCGGCCTGGGCGAGTCTATTTTGAAGAAGTACTGTTGATATTTGGCTCTGTTGACAAATGAGTTTGCGGACCCCTGGTATTCAACCTCGGTTGCATCACTGTTCTCTTCTTCATCACTATTGGTTCCAGACATATCAATTTCTTCAACTTCTATTGTATCACTGCTGACTGCTGAGTCACTGTCTATATATGTGAGATCGTCCTCAATTCCATCCATGGCATTGCCGATTCCACATTTCCTGAAGGACTTCACAATCACCTATTGTTTGATGCCATACCATGAGTTTAGGACCCAAATGCAGACCTCAGTAATGGTTGTTTTTTTCACTCATCCTGTCCGTGTCAAGGTATCACCTACTTTTTGTATCGATCTACTCCATTCTTCTTTCATCAGGGCTTTAAATGTCTTGGTGATTGAAACATCTAGTGACTGTAGCTGACCTGTAAGCCCACCAGGAGTAACTGCTAGGTTTGTTTGCAAATCTGATGCAACCCTTTTTGTCTTTTCTGTTAAATGTGCTTGGAACTGATCAAAGACAAGTAGAGCTGGCTTCTTTAAGAGCCCCTCAGGTCTTCTGGACCAAACCTTTACAAACCAAATGGCCATAATGTATTCATTCATCCATCCCTTCTCTTGAACTTGCACAATAAAGCCAGGTTGTATGGTCTCTTTAGGATACATTTTCCGCTTAAAGATAAGCATAGGAGGCAGTTTAGTAGCATCCGCACTGCATGAAAACACAGCACTATAGTGTGTCTTTTCATGGCCACTTGTTTTGATTGCCAGTGTTTTGATTCCTTTCACATCAACAGTTCTGTTGGAAGGCACATCAAAATTGAGAGTCATCTCATTCATGTTTGCAATCTGACTTGGTTCAAAATCAAGCAGTTGTATGACATAGGAGTGAAACTGTTGGATTTTATCCTCATAAACTGGTGGCATTTTCTGAGCTAACTTGTTTGTGTCCTCATGGCCAGCCCTTCTCTCCTCATGAAATTGAAGCACCATTTTGCCTTTACTCTAAAATCAACAATGTTCATTTCATTCACAATGTCATTTTCTTGCCTGACATTGAATAAGTTTGGTTGACACACATAAGCCACTTTGGCGCTGCTCCATAATCCAAGTCTTAAGTCTCTGCTCCAAGTTCACCCGTTTTGCTGGTTTTCCTCTTAAGGCCTTATTTTTTTGGCATTTTAAGGAGTTGTTCTTCCTGTTTTCTCCACTTCTGATCATACACTCAGTGGGAGGAGGTCCAAATTATCTCTCTGCAGATCTATTTCCATGCTCTTTTTCATATTTGTTTACATTCAGTTTGAATTTTGCAGAGTAAAGACAATCGCTTACCAGTATTTATCTTTTTATTTTTTTATATCTTTATGGGCTCAGAACGCTCAGGTCCCTGTTGCATCTGTGCACTTTCCACCTTAACCTCCAATTGCGGCATCAGCTGATGTCAGTAACAACAAGGCTCATGATTGGAGGAAGCCTGTTTGACAAGGTATGGGCAGCTCCCTGCTTGGCTGACTTCTGTGTATAAGATGCTCCTCGATTTTCAGTCTAACGATTTTAGCAAAAAATAGCATCTTTTTAAAAAATATATTTTATTGATTTTTTACAGAGAGGAAGGCGGAGAGAGAGAGAGAGAGAGAGAGAGAGAGAGAGAGAGAGAGAGAGAAACATCAATGAGAGAG